AGCTCTTTAATTTGATGTAGTACCATTTGTTTATCTTTGCCTTCACTATCACTGCTTTGGGTGATGTGTTTTTAAAAATGTTACTGAGGGGGCATCCCTGGTGGCACAGCCATTGAGCGCTGGGCTGCGAAGCTGCCCGCAGCATCTGCAGCACCAGTTTGATCCCTGCTGCCGGTGAGGGTCCCACATGGCATGCAGACCTCTCCTGCCGCATCTGCTGCTCCCCTCAGCAGTGTACTTCATCAGTCTGCCTTTTCTGCTCCCTGCTCTTGCTCTGGTGAATTCTCTCACCCTCCCACAATTCTGACTGTACCCAGTGCTTGTATAAATAAATAAAAAAAATTAAAAAAAAGTTACTGAGGTTTGTGTCATATAGTGTTTCACTTCTATTTCCTTCTATATATTTTATGATTTCAGGTATTATGTTCTTTAATCCATTTTGAGTTGTTTTTTTGTGAATAGTGTGAGGTAGTAGTCAAGCTTCATTCTTTTGCATGTTAGTCACCCAGTTTTCCCAGCACCACTTATTGAACAAATTTTCTTGCCCAATTGCATATTCTTCGCTCCTTTTTCTTTAAAAATATATTTATTTATTTATTTATTTATTTATTTATTTATTTATTTATTTATTTATTTATTTATACAAGAACCAGCGTATAGGCCAAATGTGCGGGAGGGTGAGAGGATTCACCAGAGGCAGAGCAGGGAGCAGAACAGGCAGACCATAAATCTGTGGGCTTATTTCTGGATTTTCTACTCAGTTCCATTGGTCTGTGTGTCTATTCTTATTCCAACAGCATGCTGTTTTGATTATTGTGAGTTTGTAGTGCTATTCAGGGTTTTGGGTGGCACAATATGAAATTCATAAATAATTGTTCTATTTATTTGAAGAATGTCATTGAAATTGTTATTGGAATAGCATTGAATATGTAAATTGCTTTTAGTAGAATGGCCATTTTGATAATGTTAATTCTTCCAATTCATGAGCAAGCAATGCCTTTCCATTTCTTTTTGTCTTCTTCTATTTCGTGGAACAACTTCATATGGATCCTTTACCTCTTTTGTTATGTTTATTCCCAAGTATTTGATTTTTTTTTGTTTCAATAATAAAAAGGATGGTATTCTTGATTTCTTCTTCAAATTTATTGTTTGTGTATAGGAAGGCTACTGATTTCTGTGTGTTGATTTTGTATCTGGCTACTTTACTAAACTGACTGATAAGTTTGATCAGTTTTTCTATGGAGTTTTTGGGGTTCTCTATGTATATTATCAAATCATCTGCGAAGAGTGACAGTTTGACTCATTCTTCCCTATTTGGATTCCTTATATGTCTTTCTCTTGTCTTAATGCTCTGGCTAGGACTTCCAGTATTATACTGAAAAGCAGTGGTGAGAGTGGACAACCTTGTCTTGTTCCAGATCTTAATGGAAATGTTTTCAACTTTCCACCGTTGAAAATGATATTTTGGGCCTTCCCCTGGTGGCACAGGTGGTTAAGCACCATGCTGTGAAGCTGTCTGCAGCCTCTGCAGCACCAATTTGATCCCGGCTAGCTACTGAGAGTCCCACATGGCGCGACAGACCTCTCCTGTTGCGCCTGCTGCTCCCCTCAGGAGTGTATATCATCAGTCTGCCTGTTCTGCTCCCTGCTCTGCCTCTGGTGAATCCTCTCACCCTCCCGCACATTTGGCCTATACGCCGGTTCTTGTATAAATAAATAAATAAATAAATAAATAAATAAATAAATAAATAAATAAATAAATAAATAAATAAATAAATATATTTTTAAAGAAAATTATATTGGCTGTGGGCTTGTCATATATGTCATATATGGCTAATATGGTTATGATGTTATGGTATGTTCCTTCTATCCCGAGAATTTCAAGATCATTTATCAAAAATGTGTGTTGTACTTTGTCAAATGCTTTCTCAGCATCAATTAACATTATCATATGGCTTTTATATTTCTTTTTGTTTATTTTTTGGATACACTGACTGATTTTTGGATGTTGAACCATCCTTGTCACCCTGAAATAAATCTTACTCGGTTGTGGTGAATTAGCTTATGGATACAATGTTGGATTCTGTAAGCTAAAATTTTATTGAGGAGTTTTGCATCAGTGTTCATTAGAGAGATAGGCTTATAGTTTTCTTTTTTGTCTGTTGTCCTTTTTTCAGTTTTGGTATTAGTGCAATGTTAGCTTCATAGAACATGTTAGGTATTATCTCTTCTTTCTCAATTTTTTGAAAGAATTTATGGATAGGCACGAGTTCGTTTCTGAATGTTTGGTAGAATTCATTTATAAATCCATCTGGTCCTAGGCTTTTGTTTTTGGGAGGGTTTTGATTACCATTTCAATTTCACTGTTTGTAATTGGGATGCTTATGTGTTCTATTTCTTCTTTATCTAGATTTGGGTGATTGTAAAGTGGTAGGATTTTTTTCCATCTCTTCTGGATTGTTGAACTTGTTTGCATATAACTGTACATAGTAGTTGTGATTTTTTTTTTAGCTGTGTCTGTTGTGATTTCTCCTCTTTCCTTTGTGATTCTATTTATTTGTGTTTTCTCCCATTTTTCCTTTGTGAGTCTGGCTAGGGGTTTGTCTATTTTATTTATTTTTTTCAAAGAACCAACTTTTGGTTTCATTGATCTTTTGGATTGTTTTTTCAGTTTCTATGTCATTTATTTCTGCTTTGATTTTTATTTCCTTTCTTATACTGGTTTTAGGTTTTTTTTTTTTTTTGGTTGTTCTTTTTCTAGTTCTTTAAGATGTGTGATCATATTGTTTCTTTGAGTTCTTTCTTGTTTCTTGATGTGAGCCTGTTTTGCTATATATTTTCCTTTAATTGTTGATTTTGCTATATCCCACACATTTAGGAAATTTGTGTCTTCCTTGATGTTCAACTCAAAGTATTTTTTTTAAATTCCTTCTTTGATCTGCTCGTTAGTCCAGTGGTCTTCCAGTAGTGTGAATTTCAATCTCCATGAGGTAGGAGGCTTCCTTGCCTTCTTTTTATGGTTTATTTCTTGCTTGATGTCTTCACAGTCAGAGAAGATGGTTGGTATGAATTCAATCATAGTGTATCTGCTGATGTTTGTCTTGTGTGATCAGTCCTGGAGAATGATCCATGTGCACTTGAGAAAAATATGTACTCAGATTTTTTTTTGGTGCAGTGCTCTGTAGATGTCTGTTAAGCCTAAGAGGTCTAGATCCTTACTTAGAGCTTTAGTGTCCTTACTTATTTTTTGTCTCATTGATTTATCCATTGTTGATAGTGGTTTGTTGACGTTTCCTACAACATATGTATTTTCTCTGATGTCTGTTTTTAGAGATGATAATAGTTGTCTGATATATTTTGGTGCTCTTTCATTTGGTGAGTATATGTTAATGGGTGTTATGTCTTCTTGATGTAATGTTCCCTTGATCATAATGTTGTGACTGTCTGGATCTCTTTTTATATTTTTGAGTTTGAAATCTGTTTTATCTGATATATACATCCGTTCCTGCTTTCTTTTTAGGTCCATTCGCTTGTAGGACTGTTTTCCATCCATTTACTTTTAGTCTATTTTTATCTTTTGTAGTTAAATGTGTTTCCTGGATACAGCAAAAGGTTGAGTTTTGTTTCTTTATTCAGCCTGCAACTCTGTGTCTTTTTATTGAGTTTAGTGCATTTACATTTAAAGTTAATATTGATACATCTTGTCCTTATTTGCCATTTTGTTTGTCTTTTCTGTGGTTTTATTTTTTGCCTTGTTTTGTTCTTACTCATCCCTCTGTTGATTCCAGTTTTAGGACTGCTTGTAGTATTTTTTTTTTTGGGGGGGGGAATGGGTGTTTATTCTTAATGAAATTCCAGAGTTTCTGTTTGTCTGGGAAGGTGGTTATTCTTTCTTCTAGAGGAAGGAAAGCTTTGTAGGTTAAAGTATTCGTGGTTGGCATTTGTTGTCTTGGAGTTTGTTGACTATGTCCCTCCACTCTTTTCTTGCCCATAGAGTTTCTTCAGAGAAGTCTGATGTCAGCCTGATTGGTTTTCCTTTGTATGTTATCTGTTTCTTCCCTCTTCTCAGCTTCATTATTTTTACCTTGTCTTGGATTCTTGGGAGCTTTACTATTATGTGTCTTGCTGTATTTTTCCTTTCATCATGGAAGTTTGGTGTTCTTGCTTCTTGTACATCTATTTTCAGCTCCTTCTCCATGCTTGGGAAGTTCTCTACTATTATCTCCTTGAATATTTTCTCTATTCCTATGTCTCTGTCCTCTCCTTCTGGGATTCCTATGACTCTTGTAGTTCCTTTCCTCAGGGAGTCAGAGAGTTCCTGAAGACTTTCTTCATTTTTTTTTTTTTTGTACTTCTCTTTCCTTTTCTGTTTTGATTCTTTTCTTTTCTGTGTCATAGTACTTATTCTTTCTTCCATTTCATCTATTCCACTTTCAATGCTTTTCCCAGAGTTCTTCAGCTCTTCCATTAAACCTTTGATCTCCCACATTTCTTTCACTTCCCTCTTTAGAGACACAATTTCATTCTTCCAATCATCGATTATTTTCCCCATATCATTTTTGACTTCTTTGAGTTTTTTAATCATGGCAATTTTAAATTCTCTGTTGGGAAGGCTCAGAAGTTCCAACTCACTATTGTTACATTCTGGTGGTTGATTTCCTTTTGGTTGTGTGTCCTTTCCCTGAGGACCTGCTTGGCTGCTTGTAGTTTTTCTTCTCCCTGCTGCTTGTTTTCTGATTTGTCTTATGCATTGGGACACTGTGTCATTGGTACTGGCCACTATCTCTTTGGTGAGTTCCTTCTGGGATGTTGGAAGCTCTAACTGTGGGGACAGCCCTTTCTCAGTTCCACACAGTTTTCTAAGCTCCCTGTTTTAAATGTGGCACTTCTTGGAGGCACTTCCTTGTACCCTAGGTCTGCCTGGGTGGTGGCTGGATACCCCTCTAGGTTATAACTCCCAACGAGTCACAGGGCCTGGCTTGTGAGGGGTTTTAGCTTACCTCTGACTGTGGGGACTGTGGGGACAGTCTTTTCTCAGTTCCACATAGTTTTGGTGAGGTCCAGATATGAAGTTCCCTATTTTAAAGGTGGAATATCTGAGACTGTGCTCCCCTGCTCAATTCAGTTTGTTTTTCAAGAGTGATGAGTTTCTGCGGGGAAAAAAAAAATAAAAGAGTGGCTGCTAAGAATTCAGCAACACAGAGTGATGTGCATCCCATGTAAATGGACAGAATTTTGTCCCCCCAAAAATTCATGAATTGAAGTCCTAATACACATTTTAACTTAAAAACATTTTCCTTAAAATGTGACTCATTTCAAGACAGGACCTTTAAAAACATAATTAAGTTAAAATAAAGCCCTCATGGTGGCACAAACACAATATGATTGATACCTTCATACAAAGAGATTAAGATACAGAAAGAGACACCAGGGACACAGTGCTCACAAGACAGACCATATGAGGTCACAACAAGAGGTGGCTATCTATAAACCAAGAAGAGAAGACTTAGAAGAAATCAAACCTTCCTAAAACTTGATATTGGGATTTTAATATCAGAAGTATAAGAAATTTCCATCATTTAGAACCACCATTCTATGGTAGATTGTTATACCAGTCCTAGCAAACCAATATACTAAAGAAGGCCAAGACACATAAAAATCAATGCTTATGCATCCAGAATGGAAATGAAAAAGTAATGTTTGTTGTAGAATTTTCTGCTACCCCACACATTTACCACAGAAATAAGAGCATAAGAGAGGAAGTTTGTGTTTGAAGACCTGTGCTGGAGAAAAATAAGTTTTGGGAATGTGGCATGAAATCTTGCTAGTCTGCATTTTAATATAGAGCAATAAAGCTTAGGCTTAAAGTTTCTGAAATGAGACAGGGTGGTGTTCTGTGTCAGGAAATTTGTCTATAGAGTGAAGATCTCTCTGATATGGGCCAGAGGTAAAATAAGCAGAATTTAAATTAAGGATTAACAAGTATATATTAAAAAATAACAAGTATATATTAGTGAAGTACCAGGTCCCTCAGGCACTGGTTGACCTTAGAGTAAGGTCATCATCTGGGATTACCAGACAGAGTAAATGAGGCAATGGAAGACCTTTGTGTTGTGTGAAGACATTAAATACTATAACCCGCAGGCATAATAGCCTATGATTTCTTCCACTTTACCATTCTATCTACCTGTAAACCATTTTTTCTATTCAGAAGGCCATGGACAAGTTGTAGAAATGTTAGCACATTGGTAGAGGGTAAATAAGGTGGGTAACTATCGGTGTATAGATTTATGCAAGGATAAATTAATTATGGCTCAGTCTGCAGATTATAGGTCTGGGAGAATTCCATTTTGTTTTTTAATCTTTCAAAGTATATTTTATTTTATTTTTTTACCAAAAGTATATATATAATATTTTAAAGATTCCAGCAGTTCTGCAAATTTTTGTTACAAAAAAAATTAAAATAAACTGTCATTACCCCCTCCCACATTTGCACCTTTCCCTTTATTCAGAACAAACATCTTTAATTATTTTAGTTGATTCTTTTGCTTTCTATTTTTATTTTTATATTAGACATTATTTCTTGGTTTCCTAGTAAAGAAAATGAGTATTTACCTTTTTGTTGCCCATATTTCTACCACCTGTAAAACTTCTTCCTTTCATCCTTCTCCCATTCTCCCAGTAGAAAAGTGTATTTAGATGTATAGTTTAAAATTTAAAATAAATATTTATTTAAATAAATATTTATTTAAATATTTAAAGGTAGCAAAAATGTCAGAATAATAAAAGCAAATATTATACATCCATAACTGACAATTTGATGATCAATGCAAAACACTTTATTTATTTAAATTTTTATTTATTTATTTAAATATTTAAAATAAAAAAAACTATGTAAGTCTATTCCCAGATGAATCTTGTACTACACTAATTTCCTTATATAATTTTTGGTTATAGTTAATATTTTCAATTTTTCATACATTAATTATAAATTCAGTTAACAAACTAACTGTCCTTGTATAAATCTCCTCTCAAGTTTAACCTGTTTGGAAAAAAAATATCTCCTAGATCTGCTTCAATCTCAGCTAGTTGGTCTACCTCACAGTTGCCATCCAGAGATGACTTTTTTGATCATTTTAGGAATTCACTATGTATTTTCCTTATGTTGTATTGTTTTTCTTTCTGCAGTGTGTTCCCTCATTTTGACCAAGCACAACTGTCAGAAATTTTCTGTGAAAATTTCTGGGATCTACATTTTTTGAAGGTTTAAATGTCTGAAAAACTCTTTATTATATACTTACAAATAACCAATCTTACTATTCAAGAAAACATCATAATGAAAACAAATGTTTGTTCATATTTCTCCCATTGTTATTTAATTTAATGAATGAATGAATGAATGAATGAATTTTCCCCTGCTATCCCTTGCATGCTCTGTACTTTCCCTAACCTCCTCTTAACCTCAGCATCCTTAAAATCTTTGTGATGTCCTGTAGTTTTTAAAGTGTTTTGCATTGATCATCAAATTGTCAGTTATGGATGTATAATATTTGCTTTTATTATTCTGACATTTTTGCTACCTTTATCATATATATATACAGTGTTCCATTGTATGTATGTACTATATAATTTTTTATCTTTTATCTTTTTGTATCTTTTTTTTTATCTTTTCATCCACTGAAGGAGAGTTAGGGTACTTCCATGTCTTGAGAATTGTAAATACTGCTGTTGTAAATATTTTACAACATAAGATTTTTATATTTCATATTCTGTAGACATATTCTCGAGAGGAATGTCTGAACCATGGGGATCTTCATTTTTTTTTTTCCAGGTAAATCCAGGTTGCTTTCCACAATGATTTCATCAATTCACATTTCCATCAACAGTGTAATAGGGATTCTTTTTTTTCCACATCCTTTCTAGCACTTATTGTTCAAGACCTTTGCTTTGTTTGTGTTGTGTTTCACAGGCTCTTTGTAGAACTTTGTTATCAATCCCTTATTCATTGTGTGGTATGCAACCATATTCTCCCATTCAGTAGGATGTCCCTACATTTTGGTTAATGTATATTTAGCTGTACAGAACAATTTTTAGTTTTATGTAGCCCCACTTGTTTATCTCCTCCTTCATTTTACATGCTGCTGGAGATGAGTCCCTAAAGAAGTTTCTGAGGTTTATGTCATGGAGTGTTTTGCTTAAGTGTGTGCCTGTGTGTGTGTATAATTTATAATATATTATTATATATATTTTGGTTTTAGATCTTAAATTTAATTATTTCATCCATTTTGAGTTTTTTCTGTGTATGTTGAGAGATGTCAGTTTATTTTCATTATTTAGTATGTAGCAGTCCAGTTTACCCAGCACCATTTCTTGAGGAGATTTTCTTTGTTCCAGTGTATACTCTTTTCTCCTTTATCATAAATAAGTTGTGGATATATGTGTGGTTTTATTTCACAGTTTTTAATATGATTCCATTGAGTTGCAGCAATATAATGAGTAGTAGTAGTGGTGAGAGTGAACATCTTTGTCTAATTCCTGATCATAAAGGAAAATCTTTCAATATTTCTGCACTAAGCATGTTGTTGGTGACTATGTCCTCATATGGCACTTTAGCTAGTATAGGTGGCTTATAAAATGATTTGATGATGACATTCATCCCTGTGGGATCTAAACATGTACCTTTTATGCCGTGGGACTGTACTATTCTAGCCACTGTCAAAGGGAATAGCAACAAAGTGATATGCCTGTTACCAATTATTTTCCTCCTTCTGTCTTTTGTGAGGATCAATTATGCTTGCTAGGATTGTGACTCCTCTTCCTGCTGGTTTATTGGCACAGAAAGTCCATAGCTTTACCACAAAAGTTATAACATAATTCAAAGAAACTCTTAGTGCCAGATGAAAGCATTCTCCCTTTAGAAATCAACATTTAAACCCTTGATGATCAGAGTTGCTGGGATGAGAATCATATATCTCAAGAGAGTTACTGTTAGATGTGGAAATAGATTCACTCTTGCTTCTAACCTTTGGTCCTGGGTCCATTGTATCTACCTATTAGTGATATTGAACATTTATAATGAAATGAATATGAGAAGATGAATATGAGAAGATTATTCATGAGGTAGTATCTGTAAACTGGTCCTTTAGTTGTGCCTTCAACATACTATTTCATCACTGTATCAGACTGTAAGTCTCTGGTTGGTGGCCTTTGTGGTGTTACCAGGCAATGAGTTTTTTGTTCCTAGATTTTATATAAGGAATTATGAAATGATTTGAAAGAGCTTCCCTGAAACTCTGATCTTTGATTTTTTTGTTGTTTTGATTGAGCCCTTATTAGTTATGATCTGCCTTGCTCCTGTCAGATTGAAGTTCTATTAATCATCTCCATACCTCTGTGTCAAATCATCTCATCTCTTCTTATCTACACTATTACCTTGCCATTGATTACAGTAATTTCATTCACCTTCATTCTGTTGTTTAAGATTCTCTACCTATCATCTGTAGTTTGGAAGTCCTTCACCACTTTTTCTCAGAGAATACAGTTCTATAATGGTATATCCCACCATCTGTCTTAACCTAACAGATAAAAGATACAACTAAGCTTCTAAGTGCACCTGCACCTTTCTGAAGTATTGGTAAATCATGGAGCTTCTCAGTACTTCCAAGTAACATAGTCATTGGTGGCATTTCAGACCTTGTCATTATCATTCTAGCATGTGCTCTCTGGGGAGGTTTCCCACTCCTGTAACAATAGGTTAATCACACATTTCTCCTGATTATCTATCTAGTTAGTCCTGTTATGTCCAGATCCTAGCAAATATACACATACACACACACACACAGATGCACCTCACACATATTTTCCTATCCATACGAAGAGTAGAAGCAATCACTGTATTCTAACAAGAGAGTATTTGAAGTTTGAGATAAAGTTTATGGCCAATAAAATGTGAAAACCATAGTCCTAGAGATTTTCCTTGTAACTGGAAGGCTCATTTAATTTCCATTAGTAGACACTTGATATTTCCCATGCATTTCATTCACATTATTCAAGTTGCATCCCCTTTCACTTATTCTTACACTATAGTTTACTGTGGGAAAAAACTCATTTATAGTTCACTAATAAATGAAACTGACCTAGAGGTCCTTTG